CTTTTGGCACCTTTCCTTGCGATATTTTCCCTAAGCCCAATAAGGGTATTTACCCATTTGTTTGGCCCGTCAATAATTTCCACCATTGTTTTCCTTCTCTTTGACTTTTATTATGCGCTTGCAACAATTTGGTTTAATAGAAATTTTTGCTTTATATATTTTGGTTCGGAATTGAATTCGATTCAGATCGTTTTCGGGTTTTTCCCGCCCACCGCTGAGCCAGCAGCATTAAATTGGTGTGGCCAAGAAAATTGTTTCGCTGGGATTAGCTTTCAGTTGCTGCTGCTCCTTTTTTTCTGTTTTGGCTTGGCCTCATAAAAAGTTCATTCGCCAAAATGGCCAAATGTGCTTCAATCTAGCTTCTGGCCGTCGATTCCCTCAATGCCACGCCTCCATTTTGATTCCGCCTTTCGCATGTGGAATGTTTTTGCTTTTGCGGTTTTGCCCGTTGCCGGTTGCCTCTGCCGATTTGCCTCTAGCCAATTGTTGTTTATATATTTTTGGCTTATTTTTATTGGCTGTTTTTGCACTGGCATTGTTTCGCCGCTCTCCTTTTGCCGTTTCCGAGTTGATTGCCTGGCTCCTTGCCGGGAAATTGATTTGCATTTGTTTGTGGGGTGGCAGGGAAATTGCAGAGATCTCTCGATAATTGAAAATTGTATTTCGCACGATTGAGGGTCAAAGGTCAGAGGGAGAAGCAACGTCATTCGCAATGAGCTCACATATAGAGTACGGAACTCAAATTGGAATAAAAAGTTCTATATTAGAGTTGAGAAGCTAAAAAATTAAATATTTTTATAAATATATTTTTAAATATTAAATAAATAATAGTAAATGAATTTGATTTAAAGCTTTATAAAGGTTTATAAGTGACATTTTTACAAAAATATAATATGACCTTAAATACTCAGTTTTAGTTACACTTAATTAAAAATCCATATTTCGAGTTTAAATGAAGTACATTTTTATTATTTATTTATTTTTCTAAATTCTGTTATATATTTTCCCTGTGCATCTTTACTGCTCATTAACACATCAGCATTTTCCATGACCAGTTTCGATTTCTGTCCTTGGTCATTTGGCAGCACTTGGTGGCCATTACAAACTTAATGGCAGAACTTCTGGCCAACATGATGAGGTCACCTTCTCCTAAAAAAAAAAAAGAGAAAAAATCCTGCATAGGGCAATAGAATCACCGTCATTTCCTCCACACCAAAACCAAGCTGCAGTTTTTATTCACTTCTGTGCAAATAGGTGAAAGCAGCTGCAGTTTGCAGTTGCCGAGTGGAAAATTTAATTACATGCAAATACCGTTAACTGTGCAGGGGGACACTGGATTGTGGGAATGCTTTTTTGCGCAGGACACACAGGATTCTATGGCCAACATGCCAAAGGACTCGGCGGGAGGATGATGATGATGCCGCCATGGCCAAAGGACAATCGTCTGACGGTTCCTTGTTATTGTTGCAAGTGAAGTGTGGTTGGTTGGTGGCTCAAAAAAAAAAGGAAACAGGGGATAAAAAACAGAGTTTTCTTTTAGCTGCAATTGCAGTTGTTGTGTTGTTCTGGTGACTATAAAAAAACTCCCACATGCAAACACACATATATGCAAATCCTTCTCATAAAGCTCGTTATTATTCCGGCTTTGTTTTCCCCTTTTTTTTTAATATTCCCTCCTATGTATTGTTTTATCTATGCAACTCTTTGGGATATTTGTTTTATTCCCGCCTGCAGGTTAAAGCAAATATTTGCATATTAGCTGGATTCTCCGCATCTTTTTCCCCTCTCCAGACAAAAAAAACAAATGGTTTGAGTCAGCTTTAATTTCCAAACCAAACTAGAATTTATTGCATAAGAATGCAATTTATTTAAAACGCATTTCTGCCTCAGGCGTCGTTGTTATCTAATGGAGCATGAAGCCATTGTTTTCACTTGTTTTCAGGTCGATATATTTAACTATAGACATTTAATGGTTTTTATTTTATTTTCTTTAATGCACTTAGAGATCTTCTTGTAAAATAAATATCTAACAATTCATTTTGGTATAAGCAGAAATTCATTTTTTTTAAATAATTATTAAATATTTATTGTGCGGTTGATAATTTCTGTAAAATCAAAAACTATTTCCTTTCGAGTGCCTTTGGCTTAGGGAAATAAAATGTGTTCAAGTTTTTGACCCAAAAACTTTCCCCGTTGCACTTTGATTTGGCTGGGAAATCGCAAAGTTTGTGGTTCTGTTGCTGTTGGTTGCTGTCAAAGTTGCTGTGGGAATTATTTGCATGTTGCCATTGTTTACACATAGTAACTGTCGTTGTCAGTTAATGTAAATTTGTTTTTTACATTATTTGCGGTCCTGGTTTTTTGGACTGAAACAAAAAATTTACAATTTGTCTAGTTTAAATTTTAAAAGAAAGGATAAAATTGAACATTTGAATATTGGTTTTGTGGTAAATAGGTACTCTTGAATTGTAAAGTTTTAAAGCAATTTATTTAGATTTTAAATTTAATATATATTTTTTGTTATTATTTATTTTATTATTTATTTATTATAAATTATTTTTTTGTTCACATCTTGACCTTTAATTTTGTAGTATTATTGCCACACTGCGTATACGTAATATTTTCTTTGAATTTCACTTGATGAGCAAATAAATATTCGCAGGCCTTCAGGTGTTGTTTATTTTCTTTTTGTTTTTTTCATTTAAAGCCCATTTAACCCCATGATGGCCTACAATATGGAGCTTTATATTTTCGACCCCCACGTGCGAGGCACCAAAGTTGCCCAATCAATTAGTCAGAAGTTCTCATATGTGGGCTCTCTAACGACGTCTGCTTTGACTTTGTGGCAGCCAAAAAGGGGGGAGGGTGAAATGAAATGGGGGGAAAATTTTACACGTCGAACCACTTAACAGGTGATGGTGGGTGGTGTTAAGACCCGAGGTTTATTTACATGGCCAGGTTTCTTGGGACAGGCCACGTCAAAAAGTGCACAAATTACCTACCTGTGATGGGTGGATGGATATATGTGCCTGCTCTAGTTACAGTTCCCAGATTTTCCCCCTCTGATTTTGCCTCCACCTTTTTGCCGCAGTCTGACAATTAATCACTTTGTCATAGGCGACGTCTCGTTTCGATTCGAGCCTTCAATCATTAATTTATCATGTGCACTTAGCAGGAAAATTGCGACAAACCCCCCAATCCCCTTACACAATTTTCCCTGAAAATGTCCTGTGTCCAGTTTTTGTTTGTTTTCTTTCTTTTTTTTTTGTTGCTTTTCTTTCTAGGTTTCAGACGTTTTGTTTTTGCATAGTTGGTCGCTCGGCTGTCGTTGACATATGACGCCATATGGGCGGCTGGGGGCGTGGCAGCTGCAGTTTAATTACCACAGTTGAGTGGGCGGGGGTGGGCGTGGCTCAGGTAAAACTACAAATTAATTGCGCCAACAATTTGCTGCAGCAGAAAAGTGAGGTGGTGGTGGTGACGATATTTACACGCAAAATTAAAAATTAATGCAATCAGCAAACAGTGAAAAAATTCAAACAAACCATAAAGAGTAAAAAATGCCCCCTTTTTTGTGTTCACTTTGATTGTTCAGTTGATGAAATTTTAATTGTATTTGAGTGAATGCAATTTATTATAATAAATGTATATGAAATGTGCATAATAAAACAAGAACTAACTTTGATTTTTTTTCTCTTTTCGTTGCAAGTAAGCCCAAAAAACACTCGATTAATTAATTACGAAAAAAGGGTAAAGGTAAAGGTAAAAAATCAGGAATTTAAGGATAGTAAAATATTTGCACCTTTTGGGAAATGGGAAAAAGCCTCGAATCGCGAAACTTGAAAAGCATTTTACTCAACCTGTCGTCTCTATTATCTCTCAGCGACAGGCGAGACCACAATGTCAGAGTCCCTTTTTCCATTCGCCATTCGCCTCCTCTTGCGCTGCGATGTCGAAAAATGCAATTTTTAAATTTCCATTAATTTCGCGCTGTCGACTTTTGTGAAATGTTGTCGTTGCTGCGAGAGAAGAGCGAAGAATCCAGCGCTCGAAATGCAAAATAAAGACAGAAATGTCTCCGGGTGCAACAACAATGTTGTCAGCCATGCAAATAAGCACACAGGTGAGATGAGGTGGCACAGGTAACCTGCTGTCTAAGTGACTGATGCCCCAGAGTGTGTGTGTGTGTGTGTGTGTTGTTTTTTTTCGTTCCGGGGAAAATGGGAAAATGGTAAGGCTTCTCAGCAGGCCGCTGGCATTTACTTTTTTTTTATCCTTGCTCTGCTTTTAATGACACACACGGACCACGCCCACTTGCCACCACCGCCCATCGCTTGTCGAGAGGTGGCAATAATATAGAGAGACCGAAAAACGCTTCAAGGAAACGCGCGCGAGTCCTGCGACTATTTTAGCCAGATCCTCTTGTTGTCGCCGTGTCGCGCTGAACAAGCGACTTTACACCGACAACGTGACATTTAATTCAAAATGTTTTACTCGTATCCACACACCATCTCTTATTTTTTTGCTTTCCACACGCACACATTGTCCTCTTGACGCGCTTGTTAAAAAAAAGAAGGAAAAATCCTGAGGATTGGATAACAGGTCGCGACAAAGTTGGATATAGAAAAGCTGTAAATGACAAATTGATGCTACTGCGTCTGAGTTCTTTTAAGCACTGCGAAGTATTCTATTTTGTGAACTCAAATTACAATTTTACAGAGAAAATATTTATACTAAAAAATTGGAAGAAGTTTTACAAAGAAAAAACCTTTATTAAAACAAAAAAATTGGTAGAAGTTCTACAAAAAAAAAACTATTAAAAAATTCAACGAATTGGAATTTTTTCCTATAAAAATATTTATTAAAGGTTGGATTATAAATACAACACTTATATAGCCGATTAACTTATAATTTATATATTAAATTTTGAAATTTTTAAATCGTAGATTCCGTAACCCCAAAGCTAAAATTTCATAAGAAATATGTCAAAAGTTTCGACCATCTTGACTCAATCGAGAAAATATTATTGGACCTAATCATCATCGTCTTCTCCCTCGCCTCCTTCGACTTCGCCGCCGCCACCGCCTTCCTCCTCCTCGACCATCTCCTCCGAGGAACTGACCTCCACAATGGGTTCGATCTCCGAAACGAGATCTTCTTCAAAGTCACTAATCTCGCCCAGCTCTTGCAAGCACTTGTCGTAGTTCTCATCGAATCTGATATTCTCATTGAGAGATCTAACCTCCACATCTTCATCGGGTGGCAGTAAAGCAGGAGCAGTTCCCGGTGGACACTCCGTAATATTCCTTATCCTAAGCGTATGAATATGGAATATAGCCGATCGGTTCGATTCCAGCAGAATCTGATGAAAGACACTTAACAGACGATCCATATTGCCGAACATTCGAACCGTGGCGCTTTTCGGATCCTCGCCCTCCTCCAAAATTCGACCCACTATATTGTGGCGATACGGATCCATTAGGTAGATAAAATCGGATTTCCGCCACAACGAGTACATTTGATTGTTGATCTGAAAGATCACATAATCATTCTGATCGAGGGCCTTCTCCAGCATCAGATGGAAGTCGTTGAACTTGTACATCGGCACACATTTCCACCAACCCTCGTAGACATTTGGCGTTAACATTATCTCGGCCACAAACTGACCCATGCGAATTTGTCTCGGGAAATCATCCAGATCCATGGGCTGATTGAGATCCACACACGGTTCCCAGCAGTTTTTGCACATATTAACGCCATAGCACATGACCTTGTCGTACATCTTCTGATCCCAAGTCGCGGGATGATCGATCTTGGAGGCCAAAGCGGTGGCCACAGCTACTGGTAGAGCACTACGATTTCTTAGAGCATCTTTTGAGTTCAAAGTGAGATGAAGATTGGACTTGACATAGGCGTAGTCAGAAGCTATCACATCGAATTGTGACATTCGCATTCCGTGCTCGCGCTCCCAACTTTGTCCTTGATTTCCAGGAGTGGCCATGCGAACCACTAAGATCTCTCGAATTGTAAACTTGGCAGTCTTTTCCAGATCGCTCTCTTTTTTGATCAACCAAATGAGGTTGTCAAAGGACTTCAAGCCCAAAAGCAGTGGAAAACCCTCCTCATAATTCGGCCGCATGGTGTTTTTATCCCTGCCATTCAAATCCAATACCATCCACACACCCTTCTCCTTCCAAATCAAGAGATACCAATTGGGTGTGAAGAAAACCCCGTACTTGGCCTTTTTAAAGAAGGCCCTCAAGATTCTTCTCAGATTTTGTATGATATTTGCATAGCCGTAGATTTCAAAGGGCATCTCCAGCTCCATTGCAAACTCAATATCGTTGATTTTAAAGTGACGCGTCACTCGCTGCTCATTTTCATCGTAGATATCGGGGGCTTCCACGGGATTCGGAGGATACATGTTCTCCGAGTCGTTAAACAACACCTGACCCTCGTTCACCAACATATCGATTGTCTCGGGTTTCCATTCATCGCGACGCGTGTAATACGAATGAGCGAATCCCTTAAGATGTCCAGCGAAACGAACGCTCTCCTGATTCGGAATGCCTCCCTTTACGGCTATAGTACCGCAAACTACGCCTATGGGATAGCCCAACGATCTATCAATATCATTTCGTCGCATTCGCGCACAAGCCTTGGGATCAAAGGGCTGCACATAGGGCTCATCGTGACCGCCAAAGATCAGGCAATTCTTGAAGGAGCAGGGATCATAGGGCTCCGGCCATAGTTTATCCAGACGCACCAGGCTTTAAAGGGATTTTATAAATGATATTTATATTATGTATAATTACTAAACTCACGGTCCATCGCAGGGCGGACATGGAGGACAGGCGGGTGCACATCTTGAAGGACAGCAGGCTCCTCCTCTCATGCGATTGGCCATTTCACAAAGATTTTGTATAAACTTTTGTGCTATTACAAATAATTTTAGCAGTTCCAATCGTTTGTTTGCCGATCGTTGCCAGCAACTGAGGAAAAGTGTTTCTAAATATTTTGACAAAAAGTTTACTAAAGAAAAAGGTGACTATATGAAATGTGGATGAGTAAATATTTCAATTTAAAAAAGAAAAATCAATTCAAGAACCCTCTAAAGAAAATGTTGCAACTTTTAAATAGAAAGCGCTTTGCTAAGCTAATCTCTACATCAACTGGTTACTTCCTGTGCAAACAGAAACGTTTTCCTTTTCTTCTATACAAATCAGTTATTCCTGCACTTAACCAGCCATTCATTAGCCACTCCTTTCATCAATTGACTCACCTGCTAAGAGATTTGATCTGTTCTCTAAGAGCTCGCTCAGACAAAACCGCAATGGAAAAACGCTCGACTTTCATTACACAAATTGCGTTTGAAGTAGAGAAGAAGTGAGAGGAGGGCAAACCCCCACATAGGATGGCAAACTTATGATAATTTGTATTGTGCACATGGCCAAGTCAGCAGTGGAAATCAGTTGAGGGCCATTTTTGTTTTTGGCTTTTACGAGGCCGGCAGTTAATTCCTTATCCGGCCAGCAGAGAAGAGACAGTTAACACGGGGCAACAGCTAAATGTAATTGGAAAGCTCATCAAGTGCTGTTGTTCTTGCTGTTCGTTCTTCTTGTTTTTGTTGGCCACTTGCCACTTGAGTGAGCCCGGAAAAGTATGCAAAGAATTTTTGTGGTGCTTGCCATCAAGTTTGGTTTATTTTCCGCTGCTATTTTGTGTGTGTATGTGTGTGTGTGCAATGTGCGGTTTATTGAAAAGCCAACGCGGCGTATACGTATCAGAGGATCATCAACCGGAGGACCTCGTCACTCTGCTTAGCTAAGCTGCTTTGATGGCATTTACGAGGGAGCCCTTTATTGTCCTTTTGTTTTTGCTTCCCGGTTTTGTGTGTGTGTTCCTCTGTCTGTGTGGTTGGTATCCACGTAATTGGCTTAGCAAACGAGAGGTTTTTGGGGTAAAAATATACAGAGGAGACTACACAGTGCTATTAACAATTTCGTTGTGTGCACCGTTTTTATTTCGTGTCATCCAATCAGCAAGGATTCCATTTCAACCCACCCACACATGTGAGATTGATTCCCCGAGCAGCCATCAAAGGGGATTCCTTACTTTATTTCAACTTTTTTTTTTCGATCTCCTCCCCTCTGAGATTTTTCATTTTTCCAGGAGTGGGATTTTCAGTCGCCTGTTAGGTCGGTCAGACGGACTTCCTCCTTTCGATATCTACTCCGAGTGCAATAAATTTAGCTCGAATCGTAAATTTTAAACACTTCATTAAACAAACGAAAAGGAAGCGAAATCGCTTAACGATTATCGCCTGGCTCTCTCACCCACTCAACGAGCTGCCTCCGCCCATTACTGCCTATGGTTGAACTGAGAGAAAAATATTATTGTTTGTTAAAATATTATTTTAAATATTTGTTTGATTTTCGTTTTTCTTTACTTGCAAAAAAAACGATTTAATTAAATAAATTAATATTTCATTTTGAAATAATACTTCATATGAAATAAAATATTTTAAAATGTAAGATTACCACAATATATTTCAGTGTTTTGCCTACTGGACTGGGTCTTAAACATTTTCTTTTCCATTTTACATTTTCGGTGTTGCACCGAAGTCCGTGGGGAAAAGTCTTGGCAATGCAGCCAAAGTGAACGGGAAAAACTCCTTAACTTCTCCTCCGGAGTGGAGCCGCCACCGTGATGACCACTGTGTATTGGAGCCCCACCACCTCTGCTTCTTGCCTGGCCATTTTCTAAGCGCTACGTCGCCTGTCGTCTGGTTCAGTGCTCAATAATGATTTCCATTGCGAATTATTTGCATTTCCCCAAACTCATTATGTTTGCATTGTGCAAAAATTCGCTCCGACGTTTGCCCATGGCCATCCACCTGAATCTGTTATCCGTCGCTTTTCTCCACCACATCTCTCAACCCTCAGCCTCTTGATCCAAATTTCGGGTTGCCTGCCATTCCACAAAAATATTACCAAATGCTTTGTTAGCCTTGGCGGTTTTCAGAGGGATTCTTGGAATTTTGAATGGTTTTCGCTAATGGAATTTCACTCCCGCTGATTGAGTTATATTTCACAATTACCTTAAGCTGAAGTACCTGGAATTATTTAAAGAAGACAGTTTCTAGTGAATTTCTATAGGAATTTCATTTAAAAAATTTTATTTCATTTAATTTAACTACTTTAATAAAATTCCATTTTAAATTGCCTCTATTTTTTATCCACTTTTTTTTTTGCACTTCACTACTATTGTATCAAATATTTCCCTTCCGCTTAAATTCCCAACTAATTGCATTAGCTTTATACAAATTTGTGTATATCCCCCTAACGCTAGGAAAAAATGCGCACAAGTTTTTTTTTTGCATGGTCCAAAATTTAATTAACTTTCTTTGATAAATAAAATCATGGTGCGTGATATGAAATATGTGGACAAGCATAAAAATGGTTTGAAAAATGATATTTCCGGTGAGGTATGCCGCCCTTCATCCTTATTTAACCCACGCCATTTCGACCATTTCATTTCATTTTGTTTCGTTTTTTTTCGTTTCGTTTATTACACGTCAAGCGTCAATGAATGTCAGTTTGACAGTTCATAAGACAAATACGACAATGGCAGCGGAAATGGTGGGATAGTTTTGAGGGTTCTTGCAGATACATTTACAGATACAGGTGAGAGCAGGGACAGGTGCGTCTGGGTGTTCCGCAGCGGACATTAGTGTGTCAGCGTGTGCAGCGTCTTGTGGCATATGAGGGACGTGCTCAGTTGTCGGGACAAGACACTCCTTTGCCACCCAAAAAGCTCCCTTCGACCACCCACTGCATCCCTGAATAATGTGTGTAAATGTGGACAGAAAGACCAAGTCCGTAGAACGTGTAAGTGGCCCTGGGCAGAAGGGATTGATATATATATATATATATATATACTGGATCACAGGATGTGGCAGGATGTGCGAGATGCTGCAGCTGTCGTCGGAACATGACAACTTATTGGCATTTGGCTGCCAGCTTCCCTGACAGTTCGCCTGCCTCTTCTATATTTAAGGCCTTAAACAATTTCTAGCTGCAAATTGAAAATCAGATAAAAATAGGAAGCTGAGAAGAGAAGTTGCGATGGCTATCAGTTTAATAGATTGAGAAAAAAGAGACATTACACCTGAAAAATAAATTTTAAATTGATTATTTTTTTTAAATATTTAAAAAGAATTTAAATATAAATAGACTAATGAAAGCATTTTAGAGCTTATTTAATATTATAAATAGCACTATTAATTATGAAGTTATAAGCAAATAATGTAATGCAAGCAGTTGATTTTCTGCTTGCATTACTTCAGCTCTTTCGCACTCCCTTCACCTCAGAAAAGTTGAATGGCTTATTTACAAACTCCCGAACCTCTTTGGAATATCCATAAAATATTTATATTTTTCCCTGTGTACATCTGTGCTCCTGAGGACACTCTACTTCCCAGAATTCTATCGCCTCTGGACTAGCTAGCTCTGCTCCCTTATTGACATTTCCCCCCTCCTTGCTTGTTGACAGCCTAGAACGAACTTTTCAATGCATTGTCATAAATCATTTTGCGGCAAAAACAAGTTGAACGCCACGCCCACACATCTGACTGCCACATGCCGTGGACATTCCATTGTGTTTGCCAGGGAAATGGCTGTGTGGGTGGGTAGTGGTGGTGGAAACGGGGGGGGGGGGCGGGAAAATTCGAGGCAGTCCGAGAAACACAGGGAAAGAGCGAGCGAGAAATGTCAAAGTTGAGTCAGCTCAGCTCAGCTCAGAGCTCTGTGTGAAGTGGTGGCCATTGCTGGAATTCCCTTCCTGTTGGAATTCCACCTCCACTTATTTTTGCTCAGCTGCCTTGGCTTGGCATATGTCAAGTTCCTCGGCCATACCTGTTTCTCAAGTATGAGAGAGAATTCTATAGTTTTTTCTTGTCCTATTTCTGGCTGCATTATTATCATCGGAATCATCTGGCCAGGCAGGCCGACTTGAGTGGCGAAAAAGGGCTTGAAAGAATAGAATGCCTGGGGTACCGCATTGTTCTGCCATAACCCCCGCTACCTACTTAATACCCCTCGTTAGTTCTAGATCAGATTTTCTAACAGAACATAACTGATGGTGTTTTTATATTATTTTTAGTTCCTTGAAGGGTGTAAACTTTTCAGCCCTCTAAAACGCTATAAACAGATGTTGCCAAATGGATTTCTCCTCTTCTTTTGGTTTTGCAGATTGAAATTGTTCGAGGCAACATGAGATTTTGATGTTTTCTTAGAAAGGCCTGACATTAACAGCTGTTGTCATATGTTTGCTACATGATCCCGGTACAATGATTTGTAAAGAATATTTATTTTTGAAGGGATTCTTGGGATTATTAAAAAAATATTTTGTATATTTCTTTTATATATTTTGTTTATTTATTTTATAAATGTTGTACATTAATTTAAATATTTTGTATATTTATTATATATGTTTTGTATATTTATTTTATATATTTTATAATTTTATATGAAACAGATATATAGATACTTCTAAATTCCATAAGAAAGGTTGTAAAAATGCCAAACTAAAATCCTATTAAAATCCTACATTTCTCTAATCCTGCTAATCCTCTTTCATTTCCTACACACACTACACTTCTTTTAATTACCAGCTAATTGTTTGTACTAGGAGATAGAATCTTGTATCTTTATCTTTGCGACTCCCTTTTTCCTCTATTTTACTTCTCTTTTTTTTGATTTTTTTAACCTGATATCCGGCAGTTTTTGTTTACCCCGTTCTTTCGGTCTCATTAAGCAGCCATTTCTCAAATTTTCTCTCTCGCAGTGCAGCTGCAAAATGGCTGCCACTTCCTTTTAGCTGCTGCTCAATGTCCTGATTACTGGC